CAAGGTTGTGTCATCTGCATATTGCGGTTGTTAATAAACCTTCCTCTAATCCTGACGTTGTGTTCTTCTTCATACAGTCCAGCCTCTCTGGTGATCTGCTCAGCATACAGACTAACCAAGCGTTTTGCCCCTAGAATCTTTCAATATTGTGCCTGAGGCGTGAGAAATGTCAGGCGTGTTCTTCCTTTCTGGCTTTCCACTCCGAGTCTTTGCGCGTCTCATCTTAATACTTGACTTCGCCTTCTGCAGCCAGCCTTTGAAATCTCGTGTTTAGCTCTTTCACTTACCATTTCGTCCCATTGTTTTAGTTTCTTTTGACTGATGATCTTGAGCCTCTTAACACCATTGTCTTTTTCCATCCCCACAGGTCCACATGTGCAGTCACTGTCCATGTTGTTGAACAAGGTCTTGTAAATTCTGTCGTGTAATTGCTGAAGTCATTTCTATCACAAAGGCCACATTTTCCAACTACCGGTTCTTCTTTGTTTCCAACTTCCACCTTCCAGTCACCAATGTTGTCAATGCATCTTGGTTGCCTGTCTGAACAATTTCAAACTGCCAGAGTTGGAAAAGGCCTTCCTTCTTCATCTCTGGCATTAGCGGTTGGTGCATAAATTTTAATAATACTCATATAAACTTCTTTGTAGGTGTAAGGATATTATCCTATCGTTGATAGCATTATATTTCAGGATGAACCTGAACATGCTCATTTTGAATGCAACATCATTCCTCTTCAACTTTTCTTCCTGCACAGTAGACCATCTGCCCGTCCATTTCAGCTCACTATTGCCTAGGGCAGTGGTTCTCACCCTTCCTAAGGCCGCGACCCTTTCATACAGTTCCTCATGGTGTGGTGACCCCCAACCATAAAATTATTTTCATTGCTACTTCATAACTGTAATTTTGCTACTGTTATGAATTGTAATGCAAATATCTGATATGCAAGATGTATTTTCATTGTTACAAATTGAACATAATTAACCATAAAGCATAGTGATTAATCACAAAACAATATGTAATCATATATTATAAAATATTTATGTGTTTTCTGATGGCCTTAGGCAACCCCTGTGAAAGGGTTGTTCGAGCCCCAAAGGGGTCTCAACCCACAGGTTGAGAACCGCTGGCCTAGGACAGTGATATTTATGCATTCCATTCATTTTCGATGACTTCTAATTTTCCTAGATTTATACTTCATATATTCCACATTCTGATTATTAGCAGATAATACAGCTGTTTCCAGCTGTTTCTGCTCATGATGAATTATGCCACATCAGCAAATGAAGGTCCGAAAGCTCCTCTCCATCCCTACCAGTACGCTTGACTCTGCTCTGCGCAGGCAGCGCTCCCCTAGTTGTATTTCAGTCGACTCGAAACTGAGGGATCATCTTCCAGCACTGTCAGGCACTGCCCCGCTGCCATTCACAGGTGTGGACTGGCCACGTGTGTAGAGGCGCAGGCTGCCAGATCCTCCTTTAGCCTGGAAGCTCCTCTGGAACGGTTCACTCCGAGTTGATGTTTGAACTGCCGGTGGTGTGGCTTTCAGCATCATAGCAACACAGATGCGACCACAGGAGGACAAAGTAGCAGATGAGTGGTGGTATTCAGCTCTGAGGTCCATCAGAAATTGCAGAAAGCACTGCAACGAGTGGGAATTCCAGAACTCGTTGTGCTCATGTGGAGCCTGTATGTAGACCACGAGGCAGACTGTCTAACAAAACAAGGTTTAAAATCAGAAAAGGTCTGTGTCAGGGTGGTATTCTGTCACCATATTTACTTCATCTTTGGGCTGAGCAAATCATCCAGGAAGCTGGATTATGTGAAGAATGTCACATCAAGATTGGAGGAGGGCCGACTAACAATCTGTGTTATACAGATGACATAGCCTTGCTTGCTGAAAGCAAGAGGACTTGACATATGTGCTGATGAAGATCATAAAGTACAGTCTTCCGTATGGATTATACTTCAACATAAAACAAAAATCCTCAAAACTGAACCAATAAGCAACATTATGATAAACAGAGAACATACTGAGGTTGTCAAGGATTTTATTTTACATGGGTCCATAGTCAATGTCCCCGGAAGCCACAGTCAAAGAATCAAACAGGGTATTTATTGCATTGAACAAATCTGTAAAAGACCTCTTCTTGATCACATCTGAAGGACTTCGTTAGAGTGGGAGAAAAATGTGAAACAAATCGAATTCAAAAAAGAGGCCAGGCTTACTGGCCAGGTAGAGACTGGTGGAAGCCCCAAGACTCTGGGCTCTTACCCCTTAGCTCTGGGACTGAACTCATCTGGGTGTCTGAATAACCAGCCATTTAAAATCAAAGGGGCAGCTTTAACTCAGGGCGGAGTTCAGAGGGTGGGAGGGAGGAGGCATGGAAAAAGGAACCCAGGGAGGAAGTGGAATGGCGAAGTGACGGTTCATTGAGGGAACTGCAAAAGATGAGTTCAGTCAGATTGTAGAGAAGTGTTGAGTGTTGAAATGGTCACTGTTGGCAAAGTCTTCACCAAATTCACAGTTTAAAGCCAAAAAAGAAAAGAAAACGGTGACGATGATGAGCCCTCTAGGGCAGTGGTTCTCACCCATCCTAAGGCCGTGACCCTTTCACACAGCTCCTCATGCTGCGGTGACCCCCACCCATAACATGATTTCCCTTGCCACTTCATCACTGTCATTTTGCTACTGTTATGAATCGTCATGTAAATATCTGATATGCAGGATGTATTTTCATTGTTACAAATTGAACATAATTAAAGCATAGTGGTTAATCAGAAACAATATGTAATTATATAGTGTGAAATATGTATTTCTAATGGAAAATAAATGAAATTTTGTCTTGAAGCATGGTGTACCATGGGTGACAGTCTTCAGGCCGGGTACTCGTCTGTGGGCGTATCTACATGTCGGCGGTATCTCAGTTCCTAAGACCATCAGAAATATGTGTTTTCCGATGGTCTTAGGCGATGTGAAAGGGTTGTTTGACCCCCAAAGGGGTCGCGACCCACAGGTTGAGAACCGCTGCTTTAAAGTATCAAAAGCCAAAGAGGTGACTTTGAGGACTAAGCTGTGCCTCACTCAAGCCATGATATTTCTGATGGCCTCCTGTGCACGGGGAAGCTGGACAGTGACTAATGAAGACCAAAGAACAATCCATGCCTCTGACAGATGGTATTGGCAAAGCACATTGAATACACCGTGGACTGCCAGAAGAAGGAGCAAATCTATATTGGAAGAAGTAAAGCCAGATTGCTTCTTGGATGTGAGAATGGCAAAACTTCTTCCCAGGCACTTGGAACTTGTAAACGGAGAGACCAGTGCTTGGAGAAGGGCACCGTGCTTGGTGAGGTAGAGCATTGGGCAAAACCAGAGGAAGATTCTCGTGGAGAAGAGTTGACGCAGTGACTGCCACAGGGGCTGCAACAGCCACGGTTCTGAGGCCAGCGTGACACACCCCTTTGTGCTGCTGTGCATGGGGTGACTGAGTCAGAGCCACTCTGATAACACCGAACAACAGTAAGAACATAGCATGCGCACGGAACACGCCTGAATGTTGACGTACGACTGGCTGAATGCACCACCAAGCATTTCACCTGGTCGAGGCCTGCTGTTTCTCTGGGAGTCGGGCCAGTCCAGCTTTCCTGCAGCAAGTCCCTTGGAAGTCGCTCTGCCCCCAGCACTTGCAACCCTCTTTGGTAGCACTCGGTACACGTCCAGCCCCGCTTCAGTGCCTGCCCCTGGCGGGGCTCCACCTTTTCACTGCTTCTGCCACAGCACCAAGCACAGAGACTGGCACGTGGTGAGTGCTGAAAAAAGACCTGAATGAGTGGCAGGGCGAGGGAGAAAGGAAGTGATCCAAAGAAACACATGTCCTGTTTCCAAGGAAATCACTGTTAGGGGAACGAGCTCGAAAAGGAGAAGCAGAGAGGCCTTGATAATGACTAAGAGAAGCTCTAGCCCTTCGGGCAGAGCAAAGAACGCTCAGTGCTGTGAGCCAGGCTGGGACATCTCAGCAGAGGGTACATGACGGGAGAAGGGATTCCGAGACCCGCGAGGGAAACGGAGGGTGTCACACTCGGCTGTGCTCCCAAGGAGGAGGGGAATCGTGGGAGACGGGCCTGGAAAGGAGGAGGGGAGGGAGTCTGAGGGGTCCCAGCCTAGCTACCCAGCCTGACCTAGATCTTAGCCATGTGCCAGAACCCAGCCACGTCCTGCTCTGTGACCCCAGGGGCTTGGGCCTGAGCTCGACCACTTGAGGATCGCTATAGGTTCTTCTTCCCCTCAGCCTGGTCTGCTAACCTGAGCCTGCAGAGTCCCTCCCAGCTCCCTGGCCTCCAGGAACACTGAGGGAGCCATCGGTGTAAGAAGGCGAAGAAACATGAACTTCGGAGCTAGGGGTTCAGATGAGAGGCCCTCCCAGCTCTGCCGCTGAGTAGCAGCAGGCCTTGAACCCTTACCGCTTTGAACCTGTTTGTTTCATCTGTACAATGAGATAATAGGCGCCGGAAGCATTACATGTGAAAAGTGATTTATAAACTGCTCTAACCATACATTAAGATCCCGAATCGGTGATTCTAAAATGCTGTAAAGGGGCTAAAAGACTCTTTTTTTTTCCTTTTTTTTTTAAAGTATAAACTGTTAACACTGATTTATTATCCTTGGTCTTCGTTTCCTGGTTGGTAAAGTACAGGACCCAGTGCCCGTTGCTTAGTTCAGGCCCGTTTCCTGTCATAATGGCAAAATATTCCCACCCGGCAGGGGTTGTGAATGAGGTCCCTGTCACAAAGCACATGGCCTTGTTCCTTAATTGCCAGGGTGGAATTAATTTGCTCTTCCTGTTTCTCTTGCGACAGGAAGTAGATGCCCTTGAATCTCAGTTGATTAATGGAGGCTCTGAGCAGAGCGCTCCAGCCTCTCCTGCTTTTAATCCGTATGCAATGCCAGGCCCTAATTTGATAATTTTGCTCTGTATGTGTGTGTTTTGTTTTTTTTTTAGATGGATCACCTACTGGTTGAAAATATTGAGCGGGAAACATTTCATCTCTGTTCCCGCCTCATTAATAGGCCCTACCGGCGGACGGTGAGAGCCCTGGTCTTCACATTAAAGCACCGAGCTGAAATCCGGGCCCAGGTGAAGAACGGCTCGCTGCCAGTCGGCACATTTGTAAAGACCCACAAAAAGTGACCCGAGGATGTTCCAACCCTGGGCTGGGCAGAGCGGAAAGCAGGCCCCCCTCTCTCTGCCATTCAAAGCCTCCTTTGAGTTTGGGTGATGGCTGAAGCAGGCTGGGTAAATTTTCCCATGGTGCCGAGAGCCCTGGGAGCCGGGCCTGCAGGAGCCGCGCTCCTTCATTAGCCTGAGCAGCGCTGGGGCTGCCTAACAGGGCGCCTGGGCGGGCTGTCACCCGGCAGCGCCATGCGATTGCCATCACCCAGCTCAGTAAAAGGGTGATGGATTCCACTGCGAGTATGCCAGGGACACCTCTGAACTTCCCCCACGTCAGGCAGAGGGAGTTCCTACTTTATTTCGCCACCCTGCAGGTACCTGAAACTCAATTACTGCTGCCGCTCACTCGGTTCCATCCCCTGAGTTTAGATAGCTCCGGTGCCTCTCAGAACTCCCCCGTCTGTTCTCTTTGCTCTACCCCAGGGGTGAGCCCGCTGGAGCCAGCCGACTACCCCTTCTTCCCAGAGCTCACTTATCTGAACGCTTCAGCTCTCCCTCCAAGACCTTCTGTGTTGGTCTCCGAGCCCCCATGCTGAGGCTTCTAATGAGGAACTGGCCTGCAGGCCCCCCCCCCCAACCCTGGGGTTTATTTGAATATGCTGCCTCTCAGCTTAGGGCTATGCAGAAGATATATAATGACATTTCTCTTGAACTGAATTACTGTAGTAGGGGGAAAAAACCAAAACATATATTTTTACATGAAATCCCTCTGTACATACCTACTACTTGAACAATTACATAAATGAGACTTGCTTTTTAAAGTAACATTAAGCTGGGATTGTTTTCTTTCCGTGAAACAAAAGGTATGACTTGTTTATGTGAAAAATGTTTTGAGTCTAAAACTGATTGTGGTGATGATTGTAAAGCTCTTCTGGATGTGATTGAGCTATTGAATTGTATGAGCTGTGGTTTATGTCCCATTAAAACTGTTTTAAAGAGAAAGTGCTTTGGGTTGAGAACGGGTACAGTCAGTGGGTGAAATGAGAGGACCCTAGGACAAGAAGTCAAGGGAGCTAGCAAAAGCTTGGGTAGTTAAGTGACCTTTGACCCGTCCGAGAAAGGCACGCCAGTCTGTTTCTGTGGGTTTGCAGCCTCGAAACCCCTGTGGGACCCTTCTCCTCTGCCCCATGGGGTTGTGCAGTCAGAATTGACTTGCTAGCAGTGGGTTAAGGACGAGTTTTTAGCCAAGGGGAGACTGGAAATGCTGGGCTGCTCCCTGAAAGATTGGTGGTTGGAACCTCAGGGGAAAACTCTTTGGCAACCTGCTTCCAACAGGTCCCAGCCGTGAGAACCCGTGGAAGGCAGCTCTACTCTGACATTTGGGGGGGGTGGGGGGCCTTCGTGAGGCCGAACCAACTGCACAGCACCTGGTTTGAGACTTGGTTTGGGGGCATGTTTATAATCTGAGCAAAGAGCCAGGAGAAGGGCGAGAGTCCCGATGTGAAGCAAGCGGAGCTGGCTGGTAGGGTGAAAAGCCAAACTCAAAGAGAGTCCCATTTTTGTGCACCGTCTGCGTGCTCAGGGTCCCTCCTGAGATGATGTATGAACACCTGCAGGGCCTTTCTGTCCTTTTGTTATTGATGATGACTCTCGTTTAAATGAGGCTGCTCCTGTTATTTCCGGTTTTGAGAGAAACTCATTGATCCCGTGGCCGTCCCCTGAACACCCATTGCACGGGGGCATGGTGGGAACAACACGGAAGCCGAGCGGCTCACAGGCAATGCCTCGTTCCATTTCCACTGACTGCTACTGGGAGCCAGGATGGTAGTACCTGTAAACAGTGTGTCCAGCAACCTGGTAAATGGTTTTAAAAAAATAAAGATGAGAGAATCGAGGCTCAGAAAGGTGTAACAAAGGTATACTAACTTACTCAAGGTCACACAGACCGATCTAAATTCAAAACCCAGGCCTACTTGACCATCTGTGGTCTCCCTATGTACCTTCCTCTACTCTGTTTCAAACATGATTGACATGCTGGTGATGCTCCAGTGGGTAGCTTCAACCCAAGCCTGCCCTCCCAGGTTCTGATGTCTCCTGAACGTCACATGGACAGGAATTAACATGTCTCTTTCCTCTCAGTTGGCACTCGAAGCAACCCAGGCATTCCGGCCGAGAGCCAGCAGCCTTCCACCCCTTACTCAAGTCCTGACGATCGTACTTCCCCAATACCGTGAACATCACGGGCCTCTTCTCGCATCTAGCACACTGCAAGACTCGAACCTCCGTGCTCTGATGACTGCGTCGGCCTCCACACGGGCGTCTCTGCCTCCAGTCTTTACCCTTCATCTTGAATGGGCTTCCTCGCGCGCTTCATCACATCCGGTTGTGTGCACGTTTTCACCACACGGTCTCCCTACCTCTGGAAGGCTGCTCTCTCTAACTCTCTCGCCTGCCTCCACGCCGCGTGTACTACTGTTACGTGTCTGTGTCCACAGGCCCGCTCTGTGATTAGACTGGCCATTCTGTCTCCACTTGAGGGTCCCCTCCTCGATGCCAGAGATCCTGCCGTGCTCATCAGTGTCTGGAACAGAGTCTGTCCCAACAAATGTGACGTTAACAGGAATCCAGGCGTCCGTCCTTTCCCTCTTTCTACCCCTGCTCCTGTATCGTCGATTTCCCAGCGTTTCCAGAACGAATCCACTAAAATATAAGGCAGAGCTTATCACTTTGCTTAAAACCCTCCAGTGGCTTCCAGTCTCACACAGAGCAGAATCTCAGCCCCTTTCCATGCCCCACAAGACCCAACATGGTGTGGTCCCAGCTGCCTTTCTCCTCATTTCCTAACATCTTCTCTGCTTCTCACTCCTCCTGAAGTACCCCGGCTCCCTTGCTTATTTGAATATACAGACCAGGAGTGCTCCTGCCTCAGGGCCTTTGCACTTCCCTCCCCTGACAACAGAGCTCATTCCCCAGATACCTTCATATGCTTGCCCTCGTTTGATTCAGGTTTCTGTTTTTCTTCTCAGAAAGACCTTGGATGGCAGTCCTAAAGAAAATAGCCCATACGATCCCCTGCTCCTAGTAGATAAGAGATGGGCCCTCCACCCTAGCCATCTGGGGGGTGGGCAGAGACTACCACTCTCACCTGGGTCTGGCTCCCCTTCAGTCCTGCTGCCCAGCATCCATACCTCATGTTTGTTCAAGTGCTCATCCTTCTAACAGACTCTTCCCTGGAATTGGAGCTGAACATCTACCATCCCGTGTCTGTGATGTTTTGGAAGTTTTAACAAGCTGGTAAAACTTGTCAAAAAAAGAAAGAAAGAAAGAAAACCCTTCCCCAGCTCCTCTCTAATCTTCGACCCTACTTAATTTTTCTCTAGAGCATTTATTGATCCTTGAGGCAGTTATTTCTTATTTATTGTCTGTCAAAAATTTAAGCTTCAAGAAAGCAGAGCCTTTGATTTAGTCTTTGCTGTAGCTCTAACAGAATAAAGCGTGGCACATAACTGTTTATTGGACAGTTGAACACTTGGCTGTGGTCTACACAGGAAAGTCTCCTAGAGGAAGTGACACCTGAGTGTCATCTTAAAGGGCCTGCGTGACTCGTTGGGTGGTTGGGATGTATGCCTGGCCGAGAGAGCAGGGTTGGCGAAGGCTCAGAAGTGTGAGATACCTGCGAGGCGATCGTAAGGCTGGACGGGAGGCGCAGGCAGCACAGGCGTTGGGGATGAGGCCGGCAAAGAGGCAGGGAGCAGAATTGAAAGCACCTGGACTGCATACAGGAAACGGTCGCTCTGTGCTGACAGGCTGTGTGGCAGGAGAAGCTGGTACAAGGAGAGAGCCTGGAGTTAGGAAAACCCCATTTATAAAGATCCGGAGAGTTCTGCGCACTTAGGAACCCACAGTATGTTGAAAACAAATTTCTCTCTGGCCGACACGCTTCAGCGGTGATCGTTGGAAGGTAAAACGATGGCAGAGATGTGCTTAGGAGCTCTTTGGCTGCTCTCTCCTTGATGCACGAGCTGCATGTCCACGAACGCTAATGGAGTTGCTCTGAAGGCTTGTCCGAGGGAGGGAGGCGTGCAGACATTCACCCACACCTTTCACCCCGCAAGAAGCGTCTCTGAATCCTGGCACGTTGAAAATGAAAGGGCCGGCTATCTTCTCTGTGCCTCCACGTTGCTAGAGGAAATTTGGGAAAGTAAAAGACCGAAGAGTCTGCCCAGACTGCTTGTTGAGACGTTCTTGTGGTTCGAAGGGAGGGTGTCGTCTTTGGGGCAGGGACCGAGTCTCTTTATGTCCTTTTATTCCCTCAACAAACACAGCCCATCTGCTGTGTGCCCAGGACGAGATTGGTGCTGGGGAGACATCACTCCCACCTTCAAGGAGCTCTTAAACTGGTAGAGAGACAGACACTTCAGCAAACAACTGCAGGATAGGATATCGAGTATGTGCTATAGCTATTATTTAAAAATTGTTGAGAAAGTGGCGAAAATCGTGATTGACAAAAAGTCTTGTTGGAGGAGTCAACATCTGCACCGAGTCTCAAAGGTTAGGGTAGAAGAGCGTAGCCAGGGCATACATGTGTGTACAAAGGCACAGAGGTCTGAAATCTCTGGCCTGTTTCAGTAAAGGCAGGTCACACCATGTGGTTGAAGCACAGGGTTCTCAGGAATAAAGGAGGAAAATGGGATAAAAAATGTAGCCAGGGGACTTGGAGGCCTTGTTAAAGGTTTGGACAAGAGATAATAAGTAGTAGGGCATGAGAAGTTTTGCGTGGAGAGAGATCTAATTAGGTGTGTATCTTTAAAATATAAAAATGTGTTTCATAAACAGGTAATTAAGCAAATTTTTAAAATTCAAAAACCCTAATGTTGAAAGCAACAGAACTGAGATTTGAGAACTTAGAGTTGTTTTTTTGATTTGTTTTGTTTTTTAACAAATGAAGTTTGGGGTTGACCAAGCAGATACCATTAGTGAGTCTAAGGTTTGAAAGATGTCAGGAGGCCCAGATAACCCATTTACTGTGTGCAGTAGTGGAGGAACAGGCAGCTGGAGTTTGTTCATTGGTAGAATATCACATTCTGCAGCCTCAGGCCTCAGAGCCTTAACTCGGAGATTTGTAGTGGGTTTATCACAGCCAGCTGGGACCTGGGCTCAGTTCCTTACTGTCCATTATTGCCATTGAAGGGAGTTCATGGAGAATACAAGGCTTTGGGAACCTTGATTGGTTCAAAGACATTACCTTCATTTCAAAGGAAGGAAGATTTGGTTGGATGACACTGTTTCATTTAAATCAGCCAATGATACAATTGCACTTTGAGATGGATTTACCCATAAATTGAGGAGGTTGGTTTCAAGATCCAAAAAGACTAAAATGTTCAATTGAATGCTGTCTTACCCTGTTTCCCCAAAAGTAAGACATCCCCCCAAAATAAGACCTACTTACAGTTTTGCCTCTCGCTGAAATATAAGGCATCCCCCCGAAAATAAGGCCCCCTGAAGCTACCGTAACTCTGGACTCTGTACCATAGCGATGGGCACCGCTGTGCAGCTCACTGTTGGCCGCAGCGCAGCCGGAGCAGACAGGAAGTGTGAGGTCTCTTTTAATAAAACAATAAACAATAAATGTGTACCGTATTCTTCATGGAAAAATAAGACATCCCCTGAAAAAAGACCTAGCGCATCTTTAGGAGCAAAAATTAATATTAGACACTGTCTTATTTTCAGGGAAATGGTATCATCTTTTATACTCATTCATTCCGTACATATTTACTGAGTCCTTATGTGCCAGGTGCAAGGGTCACAAGGAAGAGTAAGACCGTCTCTCTGATCTCAAGAAACTCATGGTCTAGTGGAAATAGACCATAAACAGATGTTTAAAAATGGTCCAATTACACACTGGTGGCAGATCTAAGGAACTGAAACACTCCGTGGGCCTACGACTGAAGTGCCTACTGTGAAGCAGCAGATGCCCACTCTCCCAAGGCTGTGGGTGTGGAAGTCATTGGACTTGGGTTCAGAATTCTTGCCTTGAGGATGTCCAAGAAGTGGCAACTCAAGACGACCATATCTGTGCTTATTTCCACACTCTCTCTGCCTTTTTATGGCACCTGTAGCCTAGCTCTGCCTTTGCGGATGAGCATGATTCAAAGCTTTTCCCCTTCTCTAACTATCCTTGTGTATATAGTGTCCAGTCACCTGAATTGTTAATCTGTAAAAATCAAGAGTCTATGTATTTTGGTCCAAGAAAACAGTCCTATTGTGTTAGTCTGGGTAGACTAGAGAAACAAATCCAGGGAGACATCATGTGTGTAAGAGAGAGCTTTATAGCAAAGAGTAATTGTACATTAAGGAAACATCCC